AACTTTATGTATTCTTTTCATTTGTCTTTCGAAAAATACAAAAAAAAACGTACTTTCATTATATAAAAATATAGAAAAAAATATTTTAATTATCTACTCTAACAATAAACGTGTCGTTGTCTATATCCTAGAGAATGAGAGTACAACAAGACATAAATTAAAAATAGTAAAATACAGTGAAGCAGAAAAATAATAAATTGATCAACGATGATAAGAAACGTGATAATAAATGAACGTACAGTATTGCTTATTACACTTAAAAACTAAACAGACATTTTAAAAAATATCATTATTTACAATTATCTGGAAATTTACAAAAAAAATAAATATGAAATAAAATTATTTGTCTATAATTTATTAACGCATCTTCTTATGTTAAAATCGTGATCAATTTGTAACACAATATGCGAGCTGCCTTTTCTTTCGTTTCATGATATTCTACAATCAATCTAAAAAAATTGCATTTTAATGGAAGAATTTTTGCCTAAACTTAGGAAATAAAATAAAAAGAATTTACATTAATATATTTGACGAACTTAATCTTCCAGAAAAATTGAACAAATGAAAATGAAAAATCGTTTTTCTTTTCTATCGTGAAGTTATCATTTGTTTTAGCCGTATGAATGATTCATCAAAAACAAAAACTAGATGATAAAATAAATAATTTATTCAATTAATTTTCTCTATTTTTCATTGTATTACATCAGTTTTTTTTTATTATATAGTTCCAATTTATTTTTGTAGATACTAATACATAAGTGTTTTGCTAAATATTCTGCGAAACAACTAGAATGAATAGAACTTTGAGTACTCATATGTCTGCCTATGAGTAAATTTTTAAAAATACACTCTTATGGCTACTCATTAGAGTACACAAAGACCACAAATACATATAAAATTTCTCGAAGTACTCGCCTGAGTAGTATGAGTACTCATGCTGGAAGATCGTACTCGCTTGATGAGTATTTTTATTAGGGAAGATATACATTGTTACATTAGCAAATGATGTATTTTTATCTGTCTTTAAATAGTCATAGGAGATGACAAATAAGAAGAATGAAATATAACTACTTGACGCAAGTTTTTCTTGTCTTTTAAAGAAGGCTGTGGGTGTGGGTGGGGTGTGGGGTGTGTGGGCGTGGGTGTGGGTGGGGTGTGTGGGCGTGGGTGTGGGTGAGTGTATTTGCTTTATGTTCATTCACACCCACACCCACACCCAAAACAAAATTGATATCTTCTACAGCTTCATGGATAATTGTTCTTAACGAAAACTCAACACTAACAACTACGGACACGCGTTCACCAATATCAAATAAACTCAGTTCATTACAATCTAGTCATGTTGCATTTAGAAAACCATCTACTTCTGCTTATTCAGGAATTCAAAGGCGTCAGACATTCTTTGCTGCATGGCCAAATGAAAATTTACTATAAATAGATGATTTGGTTCGAACAGGAATTTTTTATGTTGATATAAAAACCATTGTTATTTGTTTTTATTGTAATGGATCATTACAAAATTAGGGTCCAAATGATATATCCATTAATGTGGTGAGGAATTATATTCTAAAATTTAAGAATCCAAAAGAATAGAACAAAGTAAGTTTTGCAGTTACAATTGAATGACTTTTTTTCTTCGATATAACATGTTAGAGCTAACGAATTAAGAATGCTGCACGATTAGACTTTCCGATGTCACAACGTTTATCAGACCAAAATTTCAGATTATCTATTATTAAACAATACCGGGAAGATCAGTTACGAATAAAACGTACGTTAATCAAAAAACTATTGTTTTTCGTTATTTTTTTAGAATTTTATTCAGATGATGGCTTTATATCTGGTTGTGATTTGTATGTTGCTTGTTTAATTCTTCAAAAACACATCGAACAGATATATATACATATATCTCATTTATATACAGATATTCAAGTGATTATATCTTCTCAATCTTCTATAATCTCAACAACGATTTGTAATGAACGTGAAACAAATGCAGATAAAATCTAACTATTATCAATGATCGAAGTCAATCAACTAATTCAGAATCATTGAAACTTTGTGCTCTATGTTTTTTGGAAGAAAGACAATTAGCTTGTTTCCCATGTGGTCATTCACTACGATTATGTCGACGAGAAATCAATGCATTCGTTAGTTTACATTTAGAAAAAGTTCGTTTTTTCTTGTACTTACTGACATTTATCTAGTTATTACTAGAAGATCTTCTATGTAACATATATCAAAATGTAACATTGATGTAAAAACGAGCTCTTTTCAGAATAAGGTGAAAAGAAATTTGTTGTTTTTTTTTATGAGCAGTTTTTTGTTATTCTATTCAAAGAATTAAACAATACTAGAGTTTGTTTTCTGCATTTCCAGAAGAGATATGGAATTCTTCATGGTCTATTTTTAAGGGTTGAAAATCATCAATCAATAACGTAAATGAATTCTATATGTAACTATGTTTTTAGAATGAAACTCATTTTAAGATATTTCAAATCTATGATGTGACTGTAGTAAATTAACGAAAAATAACACAATGTCGCATATTTTTTAAATATCTTACTTTCTACCACGGACAAAATTAACGCAACACGTATTTTTGATAGATATTTTCATTAATGGTCAACCACGAAAAATACAAGTTTTTTAGAGATTTTTTTCGTATGTAGAATTTTGTAGAACTCGTTTCGCTGATCATTTTGGTAAAAAAAATATTCAAATTTAGTCAATAAATAGTGGCATTAGAGTCAAAATACTCGAAAACTTGGGGCTGTTCGTGACCATTGCTGAGTAGTAGGTGATATTTTTGAGTATTCTGAGCCAAGGTTCGTTATTTGTCGAGTAAATTTGAATATTTTTTTTACCAAAATGATCAGCGAAACGAGCTCTACAAAGTTCTATAGATGAACAAAATTTCTGAAAAACTTATATTTTTCGTCATCGACCGTCAATGAAAATATCTATCAAAAATACGTGTTGCGTTAATTTTATCCGTGGTAGTTTAATAACTATGAATTTACTTGCTGCGCAAACTGCTACGTAGGTAGTGCAAATGTACTTGTTTTTTCAGTTATTTTTCATCTTTGATTTTTATAAACAAGCATAGATTAGCTTTCTTTATTATTTATTTCAATCATCTGATAAAGCTTTTAATCAAAGCAATTCAATCTATGACTAATTCAAAAAGTAGTTTTATAAATTTTGTCATCCTTTGTGCCGTTCTTTTTCTTATCCACTCCCAAAGAACTTAGATATTTGCCAGAAATCAGGAGAACTAAATCAATACACAGAAATTTAGATCAACTAGTTCATTTAGAATATTCAATGCATTTGATCGAGTCATTTCCAGAATGAATTTCAATTTACAATGAATCAGTTCCCTGATATGTTTTTTCATGTCTTCCAATCAGAAGTCATGAATATAAACAATTGCAATTGATAGATTGATATAAATGAAACTATATAGGTTTATGTTTAATGAAAAACATGGATAGATCAGTGATTCTTTCAAACTAAATTTTTGTCCTTTAACTACAAATAGAATGATCCACAGATGTAATACAAGATAGAAATTATCTATTTATAAATACTATTTGAGAGAACCTATGGAAGAAATTACAAGTTTCATAAATATTTTATTTCAGATTTTTCATTTATTACATACTACAAAAATAAGCACCAGTGATTATTTTACTAATATTTTTATCGATTATTTCAATAGTAGCATCATTATATGAACACCTGTTGATCCTAATACTAATTCATCTCCAGTCGTCATAACTGTAATACGAAGTTATTCATGGAGATATCCTACTGTGTCTTGTCCAACGAATGGTGTTATTCAACTGCACCTGTTTCAATTTTAACTGATCGCACGGTGTCAAGTAAACAATCAGTCAATATTATACTTAAAGCTGGTGCATATTTCTATTTAGCATTAATAGGTAGTCCTTGAAGAAATTTATATGCTACTTCAACAAGTGGTCTTGATTGGTCTACTGTAACATTAATCAATTTTCGTTTACGATCTGATGGTACAATAAATACTCTACCAGTATCAAATGTCATTATAGACGATAATGTAGGTTGTCGATGGGCAGTCATTATTGACTCTGTTAATGAATGTAGTAATATCTGTTATTTAGGTAGTTTAATAAATGATACATTTCTATCCAACTGTACTCTTATATTTACCGAATGAATAGCAAATAAATGTTATTCTATTGTTTTACAGGTATTTATCAACAGAAATCATACAAATATAGTGTGGATGATAAATGGCATCTTGATTTTACCCACACTCCACTCTTCATCTCAAGATCATGCTTTTACTTGGCATAGATGTGTTTTTTCTGCAGTGTCAACAGTGAGAAAGAGAATCGATTCGTTTCTGCCATGTTTCGCCTTCGCAACAGTGCACGTAATCACTAAAAGTAAACATAGCAATCATATTTTGTTGATCATGACAACCGATTGAATAAAATGTGCATTGCAGTTATGACTCAAAATAAAGTACGTTACATGAATTCTTGTGTGGCAACACCATAAATTTTTTCATAAAAGCAAAACGTCGACGTCCTTTTTGTTTAAACATTCTAATCTACTAATATCAAGCTTCAATGGGTGATCAACCATCTAAAAGTTTGACGACAGCAGTATTCAATGATTTGAATAATTCAGTTAATGATTCAATCGAAGGTTATATTCTAATCTGGTTGAATCGAAACATAAAAGAAACCAATGCATCTGAACGAAACCTTTTCGTACAAGAATTTTGTCGCATTATAACATGTGTCAACATATTTACCGATATGAATCTATGCATTGATTTTATGAAAAAAATCACTAATGAAAGAGTATTTCTGATCATTTCTGATTTGATCAACGAGGATATTTTGTCTAACTTCGAGCAACTTTCTTCCATCGAATCGATCTATTTACTTGGAAAACAAACAGCACATATTGGCCAGCATAAAATAACACGTGTTTTTACATCGATGGAATCACTTGTTGAAATATTCAAGCAACATGTTTCTCTTGCTAATTGTAATTTGATACCCATCAGTATTCTACCGACGGTTTCACTTCAAAATTTGAACGATATTGATTGGACATTTACTTTTACATATCTATTGAAAGAACTTTTATTAACAATGGACAATAGTAAAGTAAAAAAGAAAGAATTTGTAGATCTGTGTCGAAAATATTTAAAACGCAATCCTTTAGGTTTAAATATAATCGATGAATTCGAAAAAACTTATCAACAATCATCAGCAATTCAGTGGTATATACGCGAAGATTTCATCTATTCAGTTTGGAACAAAGCATTGAGAATAGAAAACTTCCAAATGATCATACATATGGTTTTCTTTGCTCAAGATCTTTATCGACAGATCGTACAACTACACACTGATATGAAACGTCAAAACTCCAGATCAGTCTTTCATGGACAAGGCCTGTCAAAATCGACGTTTAATAAACTTCAGCAAAATAAAGCTGGTCTTATGTCATTTAATACCTTTCTAGTTACTCATTCCAATCGACAGAATGCTATAGATTTGGCTCGACGATGGTATGATCATGATTCGAATATTGGTATTGTTTTTCAAATGGAAATCAATACGTCAACACCTATCATTCCATTGAACGGAATAGACTATAAATCAGATTCGAATAGTAAATTCCTTCTTCCGTTCTATTCGATTTTTCGTATTCAAGAAATAAAATCCATTGGTGAACAGCTATGGCAAATAAATTTGATTTCTATCAATGCAAACGATCAATCATTTGCTCTGTTTATTCATTTTATTGATCAAGAAGTTTGTGGATCAACTGCATTGAGTCGTTTAAGTAATCTTCATTTGAAAATGGGCAAAACCAATGAAGCTATTGAACTCTATTTGATCATGTTAGAAATTACATCTGGCAAAGAAAACCAATTACTTGCTCATATTCATCATCAACTTGCCTATGTCTATAATGAAATAAGTGATTTGACTAAAGCACGAATTCACTATGAAAAATCGATTCAATTCTATTTAACATATCTGCCAGCAAATGATTCTACTCTTTCGAATTCATATTCGAATCTTGCTGTTGTACTCAAACGACAAGACGATCTTGCTGGTGCAATGAAATATCATCAACATGGATTGAGTATTGATTTGAAAGCGCCTCAACCTGATTACGAACAAATTGCTACTCGATACAATAACATTGGCGTTGTCCTACGTGATCAAAAGAAATATAGTGAAGCACTCGATTACTATCAACGTGCTCTCAAACTTGAATTAGAACACTTGCAATCCACACAACCAATTCTAGCCACGACTTACAACAATATTGCAGACATTCATCGTCTACAAGGAAATCTAGAAATGGCACTTGAATTTTATCAAAAAACGTTAGTTATCGAACAGAGTATTTTCTCAACAATACATCCGTCATTAGCTATTACTCATTTCAATATGGCAGTGACATTAGATGGATTGAATCGATTGAACGAAGCTATCGAGCATGCATCAAAAGCACTGGAAATTACTCAACATGTTTTTGGTTCTGATCATGAGGAAACAATTGAAAATCAAGCATTGCTCGATATGTTACGCAGTAAAAGAAAGGGAGATGATTCGTAGAAAGCTTATAGTCATCGTCTTCTTCGAAAATATACGTGGGTGTGGGTGTGACTGTGCCTCTCTCTCTGCTGGTGGGTGTGCTTGTCCCTACATTCATATTCACATCCACATCCACACCCACACCCACACCCCACCCACACCCACACCCACACCCACCCACACCCACACCCACACCCACACCCACACCCACCCACACCCACACCCAC